ACCGTCGCCGGCGACTCAGGGCAGCCCAGCTCCAGGTTGAGCTGCTGTTCAGCATCTTAGCTGCAGAGGGTAGTGTCACTGGCCCTCATATGTGGGATCCAAACCGGGGCCCTCTGGCATCTCAAGCCAGTTCTTAACCATCGTGCCACTCGGCCGGCCCAGGAAATATCTTTAATGACATGAACAAAAATGTACAAAAAGAAAAAAGCATTTTTTATCCTAATGTAGGAACAGTGAGAAAATTATTAGACAGAATGGGTAAGATTCCAAGTCACTTAATAGTATCCAACTAATCTTTCTTTGCCATGTATATTAATTTTAAACACTCCTTCATATTGAAACTAAGCATTTCTCAAAGTAACTAATAACTATTCTTCACAAATGCACAAGTAAAACAAAATAGTTGTTCATAAGTATTTATTGATTTTCTACAGATTAAAATGATATTACCTGAGAATAAAAACAAACTGATAAATGATCACACATTCAATTACTTTAAAATGAACCTGCCCAGGGCCGGCAGAGTGGCTCAGTTGGTTAAGAGCGTGAGCACTGGGTAACAGGATCGCAGTTTCGATTCCCACTTGGGCCAGTGAGCTGTGCCTGAACCGAGCTGCCGCTCAGCTGCCAACAGGTGGCAAGATGGCTCAGCTGGTGAGAGCATATGCTCCTAACAACAAGGTTTCCAGTTCGACTTCCCCATGGGATGGTGGGCTACGCCCACCCACAACTATTATAAGATTGAACACGGCACCTTGAGCTGAGCTGCCCTGAGCTGCTGACGGGCTGCTGGATGGTGACTGGACTTGGAGCTGAACTAGCTGCGCCCTCCACAACTAAGGTTGAAGGACAACAACTTGGCTGTTTCCCTTCCCCAATTCCCCAACATTGTTCCCCTTCCTCAATTCCCTGATAAAATCTTTAAAAAAAAAAGAACCTGCCCTTCAGCTAAGGAAAAATAAAAAAAATTTCCATTTTAGTCAAGATGAGGAATCTTAAAGAATGCATAGCTCTGGGTGTCTCTCTGTATCTTGGCCTATAGGTTTTCCACAGCAAACACATTTATGATCGCTTTTCCTCTAATAATTTTACAGAGAACATATTTGGAATCTATACCGTATGTATATGAACACATAATGTCCATGCCTCCTCCCTATTCTTGCATCACAGGTAATCATTAGAAGTCACCTGTAGCTGTTTGCTGGGGTTCATATCTACCTGATCCTTGAGAATACATCCAATCTCTACCAAAATTAATCTGGACAGAAAAAAAAAGTAGTCTTAAAACAAAACTCAGATGTGGAAAAATCAAGTTATCCAAATCTTGTTTTGCCTTTGACTTCAAAGCATTCTTATATGGAATAAGCTTTATGGGATACAAAAGGAAGGGAAGGATTTGGCCAAGAGAACAGAACAGTAAGATCAAAGTACAAAGCTGTTAGAATCCTGAAAACACTTCACTGCGCTCAGAGCCGCTGGCTCTGCACTTTGAACAAAACCACCCATACTTGTCAACTAAGTAAAGAAGCAAATGATGCTAAAGATGCATTTTAAATGTTTTAATGGAATGATTTAACTTATTTAGGCATGAGGATTTTTTTCTTTTCATCCAAAGCCAAAGTAAACCGATGTCTATTTTTGAATTCTGCAAATTTCTATTTGCCATTAATTATGTAGAGATTAATCAACAATTCCAGTATGCTTGGGGCAAAAATATCAATACAGAGCTTGTTTGGATTTCTATATCTACTCAAAGATGTCATGTACTTATTATTTTAGTAAAGCTATTGTCATTCAAAATATTTTTTGAATTCTCTGTAATAAAATTTGGGGCCTCTAAAGAAAATTACTCCCAAACTTTCAGTTTTTGTAATGGAAATATTTTGTTCCAGCTACAAACTAATACCTTTGCTGTGTAATTTTTTAAAAAGAAATGTAAAAAAAGATATAAAAACAAATGAAATAAAATCACACACAGTTCCTTTCCCACATTATCCTTTTAATACATATCCTTCCAGAATGTACCTATGAATTTGTCACATAGAGATAATATTTTACAAAATAGTATCAGTCTATATATCTTTTATTTTACTTATTATATAATGTGTTATATATAATACATACATATACATCAGATACATATAAATATACACTCCATACATATAGTTAGTAACATGTTTTATGTATTACCAAGATTTTCTTTTTTTTTTTTTTTAAGATTTTCTATGTTAATAAATATGCCTTGTAAATTCTTTGTTAGTTAGTGAGTAGTGTTTCATTGAATGGATCTAAAACAAACTTTTTAACACTGTTTTCTAAACTACTTTATAAAAATCTAAGATGTTCTAAATTATGAGGAGAGGAGGAGGGCAGTGATCTGGATCAAACGAAGTTAAAAACAGTCGTTAAAGCATCTTAATTGCAGGACTCCTCAGAGTCCTGGTTAACTTTCAAAGTGGAATCTTTTATGATGAATTTACTTAACAAAATAAGCCATTGGACATTTTTATTTGATAAAATCCTGTTAATGTCCTGAATTACTCAAATTTTAGGATATGTACCTAGAAAAACTGATTTGATCATCTCCCCATTATTGGGTTTTTAGGCTGTTTTAATTTTATTAACTATTATTAATAATTCTTTGACAAACATTTTCAGATACTCATCATTGGGTATTTTTCTGATTATTTCCTTTAAACTTTGAGACATAGGATTGCTGGCCTATTTACATATTTAACGATTTAATACATATCACCAAATTGCCCCTAAAGATTTTATCAGTTTACATACAACACTTTCTGAGGCTATTTTCCCACAAATTAAACCAATACCTGTTATTATCTTTCCTTAAATTAACTTTTTTTTTCTCACCCTAATTGATTCACCACCTTAGTCAAAACTCTTACCTCTAAATGACTTTTGGTAATCCTTTCTCTAATAGACCACCTCAGCAGGGGGCTATAGATAGGGTAGAAGAAAAAAATTAATGTGCGGAGTCTTACAAACTACCATTCCCTCTTCCGGTCTTATCCTCAATCACCACTACTAGTATTCTCCATTTCATAAATTTAATTTCTAAGTCATAGCAGGAAAGCCACACATGAAATCACACTTGTCTAACTTATCTAAGTAAATGGCACCATTGCAAAAATGAAAATGCATGTATTGAAGGTTTTCAGGCCCCTAATCTCTACCTGGTAATTGTACCTGTTCTATGAATTGGGCTGGAACTAATAGATAGTCTAACAGTGAATCTCAGGAAAGAAGATAATTCCCCGGTCAAAACTTTCCAAACTTTCAAGGAATGCCAATACTATGAAACAGAGATTTTTGAATTTTGAAATGTTATTAAACATAAAAAGAAAATACAGTAGAAAGAATAAGCAAAAATAAAACCTGATATTTTCTAAAGGGAAGAATAAAATAGCCAGGTCTGATAAGATTAATAAAGAGAGGGGGCATGAAATAATTCAATATAACATTTGAAGATACAGCAGTCCCCTCTTATCCATGGGGGATACGATCCCCAACCCGCAGTGCCTGAAACTATGGAAGATACTGAACCCTATACTGTATACACCATGATTTTCTTCTATACCTACATACCTACTCATATATACAGCTTAATTTTAATTAGGCACAGGAAGAGATTAACAACAATAACTCATAATAAAATAGAACAATTATAACAATGCATTGTAATAAAAGTTATGTAAATGTGTTCTCTCTCAAAATATTTGATTGTACTATACTAACCTTTTCATCTAAAGGAAGCGTTTTCTGGCTTCTCTTTGTCATATTCAAATAGCCAGCATCACTACTCTGGGCACTTTAAGGCTCTTATTAAGCAGAGTAAGGTTACAGAACCCAAGCACTGGGATACCATGACAGTCGATCTGATAACCTAGCTGGCCACTAAGTGACTAAAAGGCAGGAAGCTTATACAGTGTGGACACCAGGACAAAGGGGTGATTCATATGGGGAAAGTGTGGGACGGAGCAGGATGACTTGAGATTTCATCACACTACTCAGAACAGCATGCAGTTTAAAGTTTTTAAACTATCTCTGGAATTTCCCATTTAATATTTTCAGACTGTGGTTGACCACAGGTAACTGGAACCAGGGAAAGCAAAATTGAGGATAAGGGGGGACTACTGTATAGGAAAACAGTAAAACTGGAAGCTCATAAGAGAATAATATAAACAAATCCACACCAATAAAATTAGATAAAATAAATTATTAATTGGAAAATATAAAATGAACAAAATTAACTCAAGAATAGAAGAAAGTGATTGGACTTGTACCATTTCAGAAATTGAACCCATACGCAAATACCTACTCATCATAATAAACACAATACCCACAGTTTTACACAAATTTTATTAAATCTCCATAAAAAAAATTATCCTTACCTTATAAATTCAACCCAAATTATATAAAAAAAGGAAAATCTACCCAAAACTTTATTTCATAAGGCTTTCCAAACATTGGAATTAAAAAATCAGACAAAAACTGAATAAGAGAAGAATATGAACATAAATTCAAAATCCTGAATATTAGCAAACTGAATACAACATATAAACAAATTTATATATCATGACTATTTATAGCTTATTCAAAGAATGGAAAGATAGTTTAGCATGACAAAATTTATTAAAAATTTAAAGGAGCAACTATTTTTGTCATAGAAGTTGATGCAGAAAAAAATAAAAAAGTTTCAATGTCTATTCATAGAAATCAAGAAAAACTCTTAGCAAACCAGAAATAATAGGGAATATAATATTCTATTAAAAACCTGCAGCAAACATAGATAACAGCAAGATAATAAAAACATTTTGTTTAATATTACAAGCAACACAAATTTGTCACCACTTACAAATTTTTAAACTATTAATAGCTAATTTGAGCTCTGAGTAATAGTGGTTCGATTACCGGCCCGAGCTGAGCAGCCGCTGAGCTGCCAACAGGTGGCAGGATGGCTCAGCTTAAAAAAAAATAAAAAGAAGTCAAGTACAAAACAAAAACAAAAACAAACAAAAAAATAAACTATTAATAGCTAAGAGTAAAGGGGAACTGGTGCTCTGATACACATTCACTGCAATACAGCCACTAGGGAGGAGAAATCTGCAGTGTCTGTTAAAATAAGAAAGTGTGCTCACTGTATCACATGGGAACTCTGCAAATAACCTTACTAACATTTGCACATAAGAATAAAAAGGTTTCGGGCCGGCCGAGAGGTGAGTTGGTTAGGAGTTGGCTTGGGATGCCAGTTCTGAGCAACAGGGCCCCGGTTCGGATCCCACATGAGGGCCAATGACACTGTGCCTTCTACAGCAAAGATGGTGAACAACAGCTCAACCTGGAGCTGGGCTGCTCTGAGTCGCCAGCGACGGCGTGGGCTTCAGTGGGGCTGCAGTGGGGCTGGCCGGCAGTGGGCATGAGCTTTCGTGAGCTGCCATGAGCCATGAGCCCTCCAATGGCCAGCAAGTGACTGCCTCACCCGGGGAGAGCACAATGATAATACCAACATGGGCCAGTGAAGCGACGTCCTCCACAACTAGACTGAAGAAAAGCATAGCAACTTGTCTGTTCCCCTTCCCCAGTTCCCCAATGCTGTTCACCTCCCCCAATTCCCCAATAAAATATTTTTTAAAAAAAAGAATAAAAAGGTTTGTATATGGATGTAAAACTCCAAAATTGCTTATAATTGTTAAGAGTTGGAAATAACCTAAGTGTTCATAAATAGAGAAATTGTTAAATAAATGACAGATTACTATATTGCTAAAATAGAAAAATCTCCAAGACTTATGGTTGGGTAAAAAAAGAAAAAACAAATAGCAGAAAATTATGTCCCCTATGCTATAATCTAAATGTCTAATCACTATGTTGTACACCTGAAACTAATATAATATTGTATATCAACTGTAATTAAAATTGTTTTTAAATAATTTCTTAAAGTTAATTTAAACAAATTTTAAAGAAGAGTAAAAATCATCATGTATTTTGCAGGTATGTATATATGTATGTATATGCCTACAAATAGTTCTGGAAGAATCCCCACCAAACTGACAATAGCTATCATTTCTAAGAAGTGATTATGGATGTAGTAACAGAGGATTGTAGCTCCATCTGCAATGACTGAATGAGTTTATATTGATATACCACATACATGGTTAAACATAAATACATTTTTAATTATTAGAGGCCAATAAATGATATTTTCCCAAATTAATAAAATATTAAATTTGCTACTTGGATTTTTAAGAAAATGTCTCTACTATGACAGTAATCCCAAATGTCTTAGAAAGATACTAGACTTATAATAAGACCAGAATTAGCCCTAAAACAGAAGACTAATTACTAGAGAGATACTAGATATACTAGATGAGACCACAATTAGTCTTAAAACAAAACAAACAAAAAACAAACAACACTTACAAAAAACACTCAGGAAATCTATTATGTCCCAGATTTTTCCTTGATGGTACTTTTTAATACTGAACAGTGGTGACTATGAAATCTAGATTCTTCTGTACTGACCAGTCCTCTCCCGATGTGCAGCTACTTATGGGTTCCCCGAACCTTCCTGTAAAAAAACCTTAAGAATCAATTTGCTCTATAGGGTCCTCTCAATCCCCACACATCTTCTCCTTAGCCCAGCAGGAGGAGCAGGTTCTCTACAGCAATGTGGGAGAGTGGGCCAGCACTGAGGGTCCGTGGAAGAAGAAGGAAGACCCAGAGCCCTACCGTTCCATTACCTGTACTTGAGCTGCAAGTCAGAAAGCTAGGTTCCTGCCTGGTTGTGTTACTTGGTCAAGTCTTGAAGTTTATTTTTCTCATTTGGAATATAAGGAAGCTACTGGGTTGTCAGAAAAGTCATGACGCATTTTTTCTGTTTTTCATTGCAAAAATGAGTCATGCCTTTTCCGACAACCCAATAGATCTATCAGCTCCTTTCCATTTCTATAATTTGATGACTTGAATGTTAACTGGTCAGCATTCACCTAGAAACACCATTAGCCCTTAAAATGTCTTGGGCCAACACCTGCAATGGTAATGTCTATGCCTGCCCTCAAAAACTCTATCCTCTGAGATATTAATCACGAACATAATTGCTGTGTGCATGTGTTGTTACAGAAAACTCTATTATTGAAAAGTCACCTGGAACTAGAAAGTAACATGGAAATAAGGGATAGCATAGGTATTATCTGTCATAATTACCCAACCAGAAGCAGCAGGGTATTGTGCTTACATGACTCCAATACTTCTTTCTTTATAAAGGTTTACTTGTATGAAAGCAAAAGTTTCTCAGCAATTTTGTTTAAAATTCCTTTATAGATTTCTCAGAAATGATTTTTGAACACCAGCATGGATTATTTAATTCTAAGTATAGCTGGCCTTACTCATTGGCAAAGAGAAAGATTGGCTTCATGGAGGGCAAGAACTTACCTGTCCTCAAATAATGCTTCCAAGGGCTTGTCACGGCACCACCTCCCCTCCTCCCTGGCTCCAAATTGCCTTTTCCAGATTCAAGTCATGGCTGTGAAAATCAGTGTGAGCAACTGGAGAGCAAGGAGATAGTAAGATGAGTTAGCACATGAAGCAGCATTAAATAACTCTTAAGGCGCTACAGAACAGCATGGAGTGCTGAACAGGAAGTGGAGAGTCACCCGGGAACATCAGGAAGTCAACTTGGGGAAAACGGGGAGGTACTAGGGAGAGGGAGGTAGGATAGAATGGGTGTTCGAGGTTAAACACTTGGTAAGCTGGGGTGGGCTGGAGAGGAGATGCAAGGCTCAGAGCTAACCTCTTGCCAGAGACTGTAATTAATTTTAATCATGTCAAAAGCCATTTTGCTAAATTACTTTTTGGTGTTTGCTTCACTACTGGTTATAAGTAATTCTGGTTCATCAAGATTAATTCCACCCCTGGAGTTTTCTGATTTTTTTTTCCTTCTAAATGAACAAGTTAACATTGTTGCAAAAAAACTTAATATCTAAAAATAATCCCCCTATTGAAAGGAAGTGGCATAAGCTTGCTGATGTCCACACTAACTGGGATAATTGTATCTTATCCCCTAGTATTTTGAGCATAATCACCAGCTTCACCTCACCCTGCCAACATGACAGCCAGAAGGAAACAAATTATAGCAAAATCAGTCCCACTAGTTATGATGGATATAAAAGCAGGATGAAAACTTCATAACTAGTTACAAAAAAAAATTAGATGATTAAATAGATGAGAGAGAGATATATTTATCCAAGCTTATTGAAATACTGGACCAAAACTTTCTTGGGTGAGTTCCCATCAATAACTGAGAGGATCAGAGACTGTCTATTCAAGGCTGAATGCTAAGCAAGTGAAGGCCAAATTGATTTATGATGGATTGCTGTTGTTGGTACAGTGTCATTGTGCTCCCTGGATAGCCATCTGGAATCCATGCAGACAACTGGACTTGAATGATTTACATAATGTTCAATGAATTCTATTGGCCTGGGGGTAAAAATGTGATGCATTCAAGCATAAAACCATGTATGTGGAATTGCTTCACCAAAAATTATCTATTGAAGTTATTTTAAATGGTCTGGCCACTGATGATTTTTACTGACCACCTTTAACATATATATATATATATATATATATATATATATATATATATATAAATTCATATAATATAGTTTTTTCCCCAATAGCTACTTTTGCATCATTCAAATGTCAGTAGACTCTTTCTTCAAATTTTGGCACCTTGCTTGACTTCCATTAATTCCCAATATCAATGCTGTTCCTAACTGAAAGGAAAAAAAATACTAAAATTCACTTAATAGACACGCACTTCCTTGAAAAAGATCCATTGTCCTTTCAATAAGCACAAATTTGGACCTTTTTAAATCTCTATGTCAAAAAGGCTTCATTATTTGTACCTGGATTTAAGAGTTTGAATCATAAACCTAGGAGAAAAACAAAGATAAGAACAACTAAGTAAACACACCTTCCCAAAGCTATTAAAATGACACTTATTTTCACTTTCATTCTTGCCTGCTATAAAATTTTCTTATTACCAGTTGAGCTGGGAAAATGTTGTGAATTCTGGGCTCAATATAAGCATAGCCAGATGAGTTATTCCAACCTCTAAAACAAAGAAGTGACTTAGAAAGAAAGAGGTTCCATTCCTGCTGTGCTCTAAGTCCTTATGTGGCCTTAGACTTTCCAAACTTTACAAAATAAACATGCTACAACCTGTTCTCAAAGCCATATTTATAATGAATACATTTGATACAGGATATACTATGATAAATAAATCCTAAATGTTATCCCTGTAGACCTTTTATTGATCCATCCTATGTCAAGTTTAATTACAGTCCGATAAAGAGAATTAAAGATCTCAGGTGATCCCAAGAGAGGGAAATTTTCATGTTGAGTACAATTTACATGTGTTAAAATTATACAGACACCCACATGAAAAGAAAGAAATTAGACACTGATACCATTAGACACCATTCTGAAAAAGTAACTCTAAGTGGATTATAGGCTTAACTGTAAGAACTAAAACAATACATGATATCAAAAACACAAATGACAAAAGGCAAAATATGAGGTGTGATAAAAAAGACAGTGAACAATTAAATTAAAAAGTGTATTAAAGTAAAAAACACATTGCCATTAACCCTCTCAAAATGTCCCTCCCCCCCCCCACACACACACACACACTTCAAACACACTTATCCCATCGTTCTTGCCAGTTTCTGAAGTGGTCTGGAAGTCCTCTTTTGTGAGTGTCTTTAGTTGCGCTGTCATGGCTGCCAAAACGTTTACCTTTCATGATCCTTCTGACTTTGGGAAAGAGCCAGAAGCCACACAGTGCCAGATTTGATGAATAAGGTAGATGAGGACACACCATAATGTTTTTATTTGACAGAAATTGCCATACCAGAAGTTATGTGTGACATGTAGCATTGTCATGATAGAGGATGAAATAAAGACACTCATGAAAGAGGACTTCCAGAACAGCTTCAGAAAGTGTCAAGAACAATGGGATGTGTTTGAAGTGAGGGGGAGTTTTTTAAGGGGGGGTTAATGGCAATGTGTCTTTCACTATAATAAATTTTTAATTAAACATTTACTGTATTGTTTGATCACACCTTGTAGATAAATTGAACTTCATTAAATTTAAAAACCATTTTGCTGCATACACTAGCACGAAGAAAGAAAAACAGCGCACAGAAAATATTTGTAAATAAATCTGATAAGGGTCTAGTATCCAGAAAATATAAAGAACTCTTGCAACTTAATAATAAAAAAGACAAACATCACAATTAAAGCGGGGAATTAATTTTAATGAGCATTTCTCCTAAAAACATATACAAATGGCTAAGAACATGAAAAACGCTCAACATCATTTATCACGGGTGAAGTGAAATCAAAACCACAATAAGATACCATTTCACAACCACTATGATGGCTATAATAAAAAATACAGACAATAAATTTTTCATGAAGCTGTAGAGAAGTTGGAACTCTCATTTATTGCTGGTGACGATGTAAAATGGTACAGCCAAAAAATATTGCAGCATTTCCTCAAAGTATTAGACAGAGTTACCACATGACCCAGCAATTCAACTCCTAGATAATAAACCCAAGGAAAGTGAAAACACATGTTCACACAAAGACTTGTATATGAGAGTTCATCATAGCATTATTCATAATAGCCAAAAAGCTGAAACAAACCAAATGTCCAAACACAGGAAAATTAATAAACAAAATATGACATATTTATATCCATACAATGAAATACTTTTTGTCAACAAAAAGAAATGAAGAATTAACACATATTATAATATGAATCAACCTCAAAAAGATTATGCAAATGAAAGAGGCCAGTCACAAATGGCCATACATTATGATTCCATTCACACGAAATGTCCAGAAATGGCAAACCTGTAAAGATAGACAGTAGGTTGTGGTTGTCTAGTACTAGGGATTAGGAGGAGAGGGGCAGAAAAGGGGGCTAGTGGGAAGTGACTACTAAAGTGTACAAGCTTTTGCGTGGGGTGGGGGCGATGATGAAAATGTTCTAAAATTTGATTTGGTGATGGTTGCACGATTATGTAAATATATTAAAAACCATTGAATTGTGCATGTGAATGAAATATATATATATAAATTATATCTCAATGAAGCTTATAGAAAGGCATGCATTAAAAAAAAAACTATGCAGAAAAATATTACACCATGATGCCCTGCCTCTAAAGCTTATATTCTGATACTGTATTCTCAATCATATAATATTACATACATGGAATTCAATTTGATTTTATACCTGGTGTCCCTAAAATATTTTTACTTCATCATACACAAATTATTATGCTATTCAACCACCAAGCTGAACTGAACTCCTTTGCTATGGGAGGGAGAAAAAGCCACATTTATTCCTAAATTATGTGCCAAGAATAGTGCAGTGAAAGAAGACTACTGACGCTATAGGCCAGGGGTATTATGGTTTAAGTTAGTGTAGTGGTCTTTTGGAATCACTGTAGTTGCATCCTGCAGGGATTTGGGGCTGAGTTAGCAAAGAACACATTTGGAATATACTAACTAATCCAGTCCTTCATAAATGTGTACTGATTACCTTGCTTGTGACAGTTGTCACACTTACATGGTTGAGCCCACAACTGGATATGTGTGGCATGGCTGAGAGATATTGCTTTGTCCCCACAGGGAAGTGAGGGACTTTATGGAAGAAATTCAAAGGAAAGAGGGCATTAGGCTGACCAGATTGGCCAATAGCCAGGTGTACATAGGTCAGGAGGGTGGAGCAAAGTACTCTGTCATCTCTGTCACTTTAATTTGTGTACCAGTCCCAGCTCGCAAGGATTTATGCCTGATATCTATGACAGAGAGTAGGCTGTAAGTAAAAATTGAAGAGTTTGGTCTTACATATTTACTTTCCTCATCTGTTTAGTTCTGCCTCCAAAATAAAGTGTAAAACAGTGTGTACAGCACACCATCAATTGTGTGGAAAGTAAATGTATTTATTTTGTATTTGCCTATATATACATAGAATAACTCTAAAAGGATTAACAGGAATGAATAACATACGTTAACTCATATGAGGAGACTTCACGGTCTGGAGGTGGGAGGAAGTTATTTTGTACTTTTCTTTTATATATCTTTTGTACTTTAAGGTTTTTTTAACCATATGGATATATTATCTGTTCAAAAATAAAATTAAAACTAAAAAGTGCCATATCTAAACACACACATATATACATACATATAGGGAATATATATATATATATATATGCAAATATACATAAATATATGTATGCAGTTTTGTATATATGTATGGTTGTATGTGGGTATGTCTTGGGATAACTCTATTTACTGAAAAACACAAAAAAATCAACAGAAAAATTATTAGATACCATAAGAAAACTTACTAATGTGGCTACATAAAAAATTTAATTCACACAAATCAATAGCTTCCCTATATTAAAAAAATATATATGTAACACAAAAGAAGAAATGTTACCATTTGAAAAAGAAACACACAACTATAAAATAACAGAA